AACGAGTCTTGATGTAATTTCACTGAAGAATCAAGAGGTGTCTAAGAAGGTTTGACTTCAAGCCATCATGTATCATGAGACAAGTCAAGACAATATTTTCTTTGACATAGAAAATAGTGCACTTATCAACTTTTTATATCATTTTGTACTTGCTTGTTTTAAGCTATCAAGAAAATTAAGTAGCTTGCAAACTTGGTTAGGTTTAGATCATGTGGAACTTTGTGGAATTGTCAGGTAAACCTTGTTTTTAAGTTACCATGCAAGAAGACATTATTTACATCTAATTATATAAATGTTAGGATTTGATAGTTGCCAATGCAAGTCAAACTCTTATAGTAGTGATTTTTATCTGATTATAGCTTCTATCTGATTATAGCTTAATACTTCTCAATTGTGCCATGTGTTTTATGCTTCACCTTATAAAACCACCTGTTTTCTATAGGTTTGATATGGGAAGGAGAATCTACAAAGATCCAAGTTTCATTCTGCTGCAATGCTTGAAGCTCAGAACTCATAGCCTAAATCCAACATTCTTGAGTTCTAGCTCGATTATAGCTAAAAGGCTCATCAACATTAAGGGACATGGAAAGTATGTTATGAGAATTTGAAATGATAACATATGTGATAACAAAAGATAAGGTAAATAATACCTGAAGGATTAAATGGTTAGGTTTGTGATTGGTTAGGGTTGACATTTTGGTGTCTTGGCAAATTTCGGGGTTAGGATCAGTGTTATATATATTTGTGTCTTCAGTTTTTTTATCAGAGTCGTCAATGGTTTGTTTATCAGGTGTAGAGATTACATGTGGCGGATGACGAATGATGTCATTGTTTATGTTTGGTGAAACAAGCTCAACAATTGGTTTAGTGCTCATCATGGTGTCAGAACTAGTGCTCATGGTGGATTGTGGTTGTGGGAAGGTAAAATGTGTTCATGGTGGATTGTGGTTGTGGAAAGGCTAGTTACAATCCCCTGTTACACACAGAAAGACAAAAATGGGTTTCCTTCACAAGCAAGAACAAGAAAATCCAATACAAATAAAGAAGGCCTAACCAGTACAAAAAGTGCATAAAGTGAAAAATACCAGCCTTGTGCTTGCTTGCTTACAACTTAGGAATAAATAGAATTTCTAAAATATTGCATTGTTTTTGGTTGTCAAAGAAATATATTCAATAAGAAAATATATCTTTAATCTAATAATGTTTAAGCAAGACCTCTTTAATCACTTTGTCCAAGTTTATGTATGAACTACCACCAGGTCTTGTCTCTTCCTCTACCTTCTTCTTCAACTCCATTGCCTTTTTTCTCATCTTCTTTCCTTTCTCTCCCACCATCAATTCATTCACTAACTTCTCAACCTCTTCTCTCTTTACATTGGTACCAATTTCCATCCCTATCTCCCATTCATTGCAAATAAGTCTACTGTTTGGTGGCTGATCAGTGAAAAATGGCCAACACAACATTGGCACTCCAGCACCAACACTTTCAGTGGTTGAGTTCCATCCGCAATGAGTCAAGAATCCACCAATTGAAGGATGGTTCAACACTTTCTCTTGCGGACACCAGCTCGCAATTAGGCCTCTATCTGAAACTTCATTGACAAACTCAGATGACAAAACAACTGAGCCACCAATGACAAGATCAGGCCTAATGATCCACAAAAAAGGTTTCTTGCTATTAGCCAAACCCCAAGCAAACTCCAACAGTTTCTCTTCCGTCGTAACCGCGACACTTCCAAAATTTACATAAAGAACAGACTCATGATCTTGTAATCCAAGCCATTCAAGGCAATTAGTATCTTCTTTCCAAAGATTAGATTCTAGAGATATCAAATGATTTTGAGGACTTTGATTCAAAATAGAAGCAACTGGCCCAATGGTGTATATAGAAGGAAATATAAAATTGAGAGCATTCATAATATCTCTCTCAAGTTCATCAGAAGTATTGAAAATAATTGCAGATGCTCTATGATATCTACCTGTCATTTCAGCTGTAAATTTTATCAAAATGTCATTTGGATTTCTTGTCTTTATTGAAGTAGGAAGGTCCTTCACTCTAAAGTTTTTCAAACCTGGAATCCAGTCAACTTTAGTGTCCCAATATCCATTAATTACAGAACTCTCATCTGCATATCATAATTGCAAAAGTCAATACTTTGAATATATATACATACAAGATACCTCTATTAGAAAGAAAAATGGAACATAGATTTACCTTTGAGTGGTAAAACACCATTTTGAAACAATTTCGGAACGTGATAATTAGACAAGAAGAAACAAGCACTACATGGAGAAAAGAGAACAACTGGAAGTGCATGTTCTTCAGCAGAATCTACTGTAAATGGCATGAAACTATCAGAAACTAAGCAGGTAACTGGAGGGATAAGACCAGAAGTGGCAGACTCATGAAGTTTAGAAAGAAGTTCATCAAAGAAGTGGTGGAAGTTGTTCAAGATTGATTGGCAAAGAGAGCGTACGTCTTGAGTAACATCACCATCACCATCAATTGGAGTTAAACCATCTTGAATTGTCTCAAACCGAAAATCAGTGAAACCATCAAAGGCTTTAGGACCCTTTGATTTGAGCAAGCGTTTGTGGTTGTATTCAGTGTTGACAAAGGTTATGTGAAAGCCTCTAAGATGAAGAACTTTTGCTAGTTTCAACAATGCATTGATATGGCCTTGAGCTGGAAATGGAGTTAACACAGCGTGTGGCTTTCTCTCTGCAAAGTTACTCATTTTTAATATATTCATCTTTTTATGCCGTGTTAAAGTCAGTCTATATATATATATATATATATATATATATATATATATATATATATATATATATATATATATATATATATATATATATATATATATATATATATATATATATATATATATATATATATATATATATATATATATATATAAACTCATAACTAATATTTCAAATCAAATAGAAAAACACAGTATAAATTAGTAATAATCATGACTTTAAGTAGATTGAAGGTGACCCCATCATGGACCAATTTCTTTTATAACTATGGGGAAGTGAGGAAAGTGACCCCTAGAACCCACTTGATTTTATTTTATCATTTGACACGACCCTTTCCCGTCATGCTTTTATAGAAATTTTTATTAAGATAATTCATTTTTTATTTTTTATTTTAAAATAATTCACTTTTTAAATTATTTGTCAAAGTATCCTATTTTAAGGTAGTGATTGCATGCTGACGCCAATCTAATCCAATTAGATTGACGATCCTTCACAAAGACAATGTGTTGTCGCTAATTGAATTGGAGATAACACATGGTATCGCTATACTCTATTATTGAAAATAATATATCATATTATTCTAGTTTCAAAAAAAAAAATCAAAGTGTCCTAAGGTACATGCTCATCCATTGGGGTGGTGAGCAGATGAAAACATCTCATGTACGAAGGTATTCGTCCACTAGGTTGACGAGCACCTGATTTTTTTTTCCAGATTTATATTTTATGTAAATGTTATATTTAATAATTTTAAGTATTAAAAATATATTATATTAATTTAATAATTATATACTAATTAAAAATAATATATTCAAACAATTATATTAATTTAATAATTATATATTAATTAAATGTAATAAAAAAATATTTGAAGGAATTTATTCAAATAAAGATACATATTAATTAAAATACATTTCATCAAAAATGACCCCCAGTTCCACACCTAGTGTCCTTTTTTTATTGATATCCCTTGTCCATACGTTCATTTGCATTTTTTGTAGGTGATGGAGATGAATCGGAAGACATATCTTGATCGTGATGTATTGTAGGGGGTCCGTCTGCCTTAAAGGGGCCCCACTTGTGTCGTAGGTTGCTCCGCAAGAAGGTCATCAATGTTAAAATTTGGCATTTGCATCAGTTGATCCTCCGTCAGCAAAAAATGTTGGAATAAATGCGATGGTTGTGGTGGTTGGGTGTAGGTTTTGCGTTGAGTTTGTTAGAGGGTTGGGTAGTAGACATCATCCGACGTGAAGGTGGAGGTGGGTTGAGAGAATGAAGTGTTGAAGGTTTGATGTTGGGATTGGGGGTTTGATTGATCAAAGATTGACGGAGGAACTGAAGTGAACTGTAAGGGTGGTCAAAGGATGGATTGGTGTTGATATTGTTGGTTGTAGTTGTAGTGGTAGTTTTGTTGAGGGAGTGGAGTGTAGGGAGTTTTCTGTTGGGATGAGGATGCATATAATATGTGTTGTTCGGTGGTCTGTGTGAGTTGGTATATATGTTTAGGGATGAAGATAAGTGTCCCCCAAATTGGGATATGTACAATGGTAGCACATCCTGATGCATTAGTGCGACAGTTGGTTCTGTTGAAGACGAACCTTGTACGCGAGAGTCGATCAAAAATTGGTCTGGAGTAATATTCACATACGAAATTGAACGAAACCAATTTAAATACTCTTGGCTTGGCTTGCGTTGTCCAACTACCGCGTCCCATTGCAAAATCAAATATCTTATATGTTTCCATTCTTTCACCTCCTTTTTGTTTAATTCTCGCCAATGAACTTTTTGGGTTTTTTTCATCATCATTGTGTGGTGTTCCCTTAGACAGCTTGGCGGGGAAGGGATTTATTGTTCAAACCCAAACTAGAGTTTGACCCTATTTGTTTGATGCATTTCAATAGTATAGGAACTAATAAGAGAAGTCGTAACACTCCAGATCTGGCTATCTCTAAGATTGGGCACCAGGAATTTAATGTATGGCCTCCATATAAACTGCCACATATTAAAAAAATTAGAATAAAATTAAGAAGTATATGCAATAAGTAGGTTCTATGGTTTCAAACTCATGTCTTTTTCTTACATGTGGTCCAGTGCGTTTCGATACCCTTGTAGATGGAAACGAGGATTAGCGTCATAATTCATGTGTCGTTTGGCCCATCATGCAGAAACAAAAAATATATAAATGTTAGGTATAGTTGATTAAGAAGATTATAAATTGCTTTTTTATTCTAGTAATACCTTTAAGTGTATGGAAATGACGGCTGCAATGTATTAACAGGAGCAACCAAGGGTATACGCGTGAATACCCAAGTAGTGAATAATACAACACAACCACTCATGCTCCTGACATCTTTGACCGCGGCCTTGCACATTTTTCTGTACAATTTTGCAAGACAAGCAGAACCCCAACTAAAGGTGTTACATTTTTCTAGATCCTCTATGAAAGGAATCCAGGAAGAATGCAACAGATTTTGACTCTTGTCGAGAAACAAAATAGCAGCAATTACAAGTAAAATATAAACTTTAGCTTGTAAAATAATATGTTCTTGGGTTGGGGAAGAGTTATTTTTTAGAAGTTCGTATAAACTCTCTAGCCAAGTAATCTTAACGAAACCTCTGTTTTGATCAGCTGATGTAGGTTCTACCCCTAAGTTCTCCATGTAAACATCATTTGTTACTTCGGTAGGACCGTTAGTAGCTTTTCCATCAACTCGGAGACCAAGTAACATATTAATATGTTCTAATGTTATCGTGCATTCACCGGTTGGGAAATGAAACGTGTGAGTTTCTGGTCTCCATTTCTCTAGCAGAGCTATGACTAGGCTAGAGTCAATTTTGAGATTATTTATTTTTTCAAAATTAAAAAACATGATAATTCTAAATACAGGATTATTCTCGCACTTGCTTGAACGTGGGTATGAGAATGCACTCGAAACCTTCCATTAGTCTGGAAAAAAGGAAATAATAATGAACATAAAAATTATAAAAATTATTACGTAGAATAGTATAGGAAACCTTACACTAGCTTGAATGTTTGCTTGTGTTCCACGGTGTTCATTGCCCTTCCACAACAAAGAAATTTTGAAGAAATTTTGTGAGAGGTGAAGAAATGTTTGCTTTTGTTGCAAGAGTGTTTTGTGAGAGGTGTAAAAATGTTTGAAGAAATATTTTAACTAAAATGAATTTATAGAAGGATAGTTAGCAAGTAATAAATAAATGTGACAAGATCACACACTAGTAGAAGTGACATTACACTGCATGGCCTTGGAACTTGTTTTAATTTCATGGAATGCATGCAAGCCTACTCCTTAGGACTGGTACTTTGTGCCTTGCATGGAGAATAGTTTTTTAGACCTCATGTGATCGCCACTTGAGATGATGAGATGATGCATGACACGACTATGCTCGCCAACTGAATGGACAAGTAGACACAACGTTAGAACATATCCGTCCTTTGAGTGGACGAGCACACGCGTGGGTTATTTCTTTGCAGCATTTGAATATTATATGTGTGTATTATATAATGCTGGTTTCTCACATTTGTATCATCATTCCACATTCTAGTAACAAAATCATAGAGTTCTCACATCAAATATAGCTCAGAGAAATATAATAGTTACCTGTCACTTTAACGGCACTATTTCGACAGATAGTACTGCTGGATTCTCATTTGACAACACAAATACTTACACATTCAAAATTCATGTGAATTCTAATTTTCTTCATTTCAAAGATAGGATGGAAAAAAATTAGAACGATTTATTGAGGATATTATTTATCATCATCCATTAATTAATGGAGAGGATGGTACAGTTTTTTACGTAATGACGCCGATCAAGAACGACGAAGACGCGGAAGCAATCTTTCAGTGCCACATGATGTTTGGTAAATTACCCATAATTGATTTGTATGTTCATCTACTTTACAATGCCGAAACATTTCCGACGCAAGAGACACAATCACACCAATATGGAATGAGCCAAACATCTGACGATGAACCAACACAAAACAACAAACCTTTCATACCAAATGAAGAGGTTGGGGAAGAAAGCAACGATGATTTTCAAGTGGTCAAGATGCAAGATCTTTTTGGTAACAACAATGACGAGGACGATGAAGATATGATAGTCGAGTTTACGCAGGCGATTCACATCGAACCAATAAGCTTGTACAACCCACTTGCACATATGTGTAATATATGTATGGAAGATGTTGAACCAATCTCTGTGTTTGGAAGTGTCATACCAAACCATATAGGTGACGAAATAGAGATTGGGATGGAGTTTGAAAACAAGGAAGCTTTCATTTTTGCTCTGCAACATTGGCATATAACACACAATATTGACTATTGGGTTTATTGATCTGACAATCAACGATACATAATTAATTGAAGAAACAAGACTGCAATTTCAAATGCAGAGCTTCCTTGAGAAAAAAGAACTAAAAATGGAAGATTGGTAAGTTGTTTGGGCCTCACACATACAATACCACGTCTATGGCACAAGACCATAAAAAGCTAAGTTCAGAAATGATTAGCCACAACATTAGAGAGCTTGTCAACCGTGACGTTTCACTTAAGGTGAAGGTGATCATTGCTCATATTCTTGAAAAATACAGGTACATAATATCTTACAGGAAAGCATGGATCGCAAAATGTAAGGCCATATTGTCGCTCTACAAAAATTGGGAAACATCTTACAACGACCTGCCACAGTGGATATTGGTAATGAAAACCTATCTTCCTGGAACCATTATTGATTTGTAAACCCTACCTGCAATTTCAAATGATGGTTCCCAAATCTCTGAAAAACGAATCTTTCATCATCTGTTTTGGGTATTTCGACCGTGTATACGTGACTTTGCCTACTATAAGCCCATTGTGCAAGTTGACGAAACGTGGTTGTATGGTAAGTACAAAGGAACTCTGTTGATGGCGATGACACAGGATAGGAACACACACATTTTCCCAGTAGCTTTCGCATTGGTTGAAGGTGAAACAAAGAAAGCCTGAAGATTTTTCCTAACGAACCTGAGATTACACGTGACACCACAACCTAATTTGTGTCTAATCTCAGATAGACATGAATCGGTAAAGAGTGCATATAAAAATCCCGAGAACAGATGGCAACATCCACCATCTTCACATGTCTACTGCATTAGACACATTACAGAAAACTTCATGCTCGAGATTAAGGACAATGAACTACGCAAAAAACTTATTAACATGGGTAACAAAATATATTTCAGTTACCTGAAATATTTTATCATACTTTTATTATGTTTTTCATACCATTTCTACGCATTTACGGAGGCTACATTTAACTACTATCGCGGGGAAATCCGAAGAACAGACATTGAGGCCTCACGTTGGATAGACAACATACCTAGGGAGAAGTGGGCTAGAATATATGACGGAGGGAAACATTGGGGACATATGACATCTAATTGTGAAGAAGCCATGAAATATGTACTAAAGGCAACCCAAAACCTTCCAATCACTGCATTGGTCCATTTTACATACTATCACATGGGTTCCCTCTTTGGTAAAAGAGGCCACAAATGGACCAAAATGCTAGCTACCCGAAATGTTTTCACGGATGGTTGCAACAAGGGAATGGATGATGAAGTAGCCAAGGATAACACACATAATATCATGCAATTTGATCATGAAAGATTATGTTTCATGGTGCAGGAAAAAATTAATCAGAATGATGGTCGTCCGACGGGTACTTTCAGCATTGACCTGAGGAATCATTGGCGTGACTGTGGGAAATTTCAGGCATTTCACTTACCTTTCTCCTACGTTATCACAACATTTTCTAGTATACGTAAAGACTACTCCATTCAAATTCCATAAGTCTTCACAGTTCTTAACGTATTCAAAGTCTACAATGAAAGCTTCCTAGGACTACCCCACAAGGAGAACTGGCCAAAATATGAAGGATTTACTCTTTGCCACGAAGATTCCATGAGAAGAAATAAGAAGGGATGTCTAACCAGTAGTAGGATTAGAACCGAAATGGATGACATTGAAAAGGAAAAGAGAAGGTGTGGGATTTGCAGAGAAATAGGCCATATGCGTAGAAAATGTCCAAATGTTGTCGGCCCGTCAAACCAATCGTCTAGATAACTTTATTTGTTTTTCAAGTTAATCGGTTAGTAAAGTTTTTAGCTTGCACTTAATTTCATTGTGATCCAACATTAGTTTATAATTCAAGACAACTTTTACTAACAACTACGAAACAAAGAATCTGCTCATAAAACAACAAGATAATGAACATTTAAATGATTCAATAAATCAGCAATACTAGGAGATTAAAACCATCAATTTAATATCAGTTTGTCCATACATCATCATGATACAATCATAATCGTTTTTCAGAACTTTCCAAGCCATGCCATCTCTTTCTTTAACAAGTCTTTCAATTCTTATAATCTTTTCACCTTCAGTTATTTCACCTTCTAACCACCTCACCAGACTTCTCTGAAAATGCTCGAACGCGACTGTGTTCCATAGTCGGATCTTTAACGGGGGTTTTATTGGTGAGAAAACCAGTAGAGCATCTCTTTTGGTAAGGGGAGTGTTTGGATTGGTAAAATACTCCATCGCCGAATCCATATTTCAGACTAAAAATGAAGAATTTGTGTACTAAATCTGAGATTCCAAGGTCTCACACAAAGCTATTTATAGAAAATATAAAAATGATTAAATATTTCACTGTTCGTCTAATGGATGGTCGAGCATCATCATGCCATAATTTATGTTTACTAAATAAAATTAAAACTCAAGAAGCTAACATACAATCTAATCAACAACAACAACCAACATAAGTGGATCTTCGGCTCCTCTGTTAACTTCGCCATTATGTGTTGAAAACATACATTGGACATCTTCATCATTTTCTATACGATCCAAGTAATACATGTACGTATCCTCCAGGCTTGCATCAGTCAGCGTTATATACGGACAACGATACTCCATTTTTCTCACCTTCATGTGATGAACACCCAACTGTTGAAAACCCATGTTAATTGCTGCAACCACGATTCTGAAATTCCAATGCGCATCTAGGTAAACACTGATTTTTTCTTGTCCATATAAAACAAGAGCTTGAACAGACATTTTTGAAAATGGAAACACCGAGCTCGAATGATTTGTGTTGACGCACATCAATCTATTTATAGAAAAATATTATGTTTGAACTCTGTCATTCATTAGCCGAGAGTCTCTAAACACTCGGCAACTCATTGGGCGAGCATCAATCAATTTTTAAAAATTATGAAGAAAAGAATTTTTAAAAATATTATTTAATTCATAAACTATGTTTTTTTCTAATTAAAATTAGGTGCTTGCCAACCCAGTGGACGAGCACCTTCATGCATGAGATGTCTTCATCTGCTCTCCACTTCAGGGGACGAGCATGTACTAGACTTAGGGCACATTGCTATTTTTTTTTCAAAATAGGGTAGTATGGTATACTATTTTCAGCAATAGGGTAGAACAGTAAACATTGTATAAATTAGACATATTTTAAAAGAATATAATCATGACTTTAAGTAGATTGAAGGAGACCCCATCATGGACCAATTTATTTTATAACTACGGGGCAGTGAGGGAAGTGACCCCTAGAACCCACTTGATTTTATTTTATCATTTAACATGACCCTTTCATGTCATGCTTTTATAGAAATTTTGATTAGAATAACCCATTTTTTTAATCTTTTTTCC